TAGTATATAATTCGTGGCACTAAGCTCTAATTTACCTCACATTAAAAAAAACACTATAGTCCCCAGAACCACTTCAGCTTAATGTAGTGGTTCTGGTGTCTATAGCCTGTCCCTACAGGCCTTTTAATGTAAACACGGCGGCACTGCAGCACTGGTGTTAGTTAACATGGCATATCATATGGGTGGGGCATTGTGATGTCACATGGGGGGGGGGGCGGCAAACTTTACTTTTGCCTAGGGTGGCAAAAATCCTTGCACCGGCCCTGGCTGGAGGGGGCTGTGTGAGCTGTGGCCGCACAGTGTCCCATGGTAGTTAGGGTGCCGTACAGCTCACACAAGCAAACAGCTGATAAACTGGCCGCACAGAGGAAATGTGTATGTGTGACTGTCTGCCTGTGACTGTGTGTGACTGTCTGCCTGTAACTGAGTGTGTGACTGTCTGTCTGTAACTGACTGTGTGACTGTCTGTCTGTAACTGACTGTGTGACTGTCTGCCTGTAAATGTGTGTGTGGGGCTGCAGGGATTTTGTAGAAGGGGGCGGGGGTTTTGTATTGGGACAGGAGTCTTTATAAGGGGGATAAGCAGGGGATTTGTGGAAGGGGGTTGCGGGGGTTTTGTAGACGGGGCAGTACAGGATTTGTAGAAGGGGCAGGACAGAGGTTTTGTAGGAGGGGCGGGGCAGGACAAGGGTTTTGTAGGAGGGGCTGACAGCGGTTTTGCAAAGTTTACAAATTGTAAAAATAAAGAAAGAAAACCTTTAACATTTTTTACAGGGTTTTTTTTTGGGGTGGGTGGGGGGGGGGGTGCCAAGCACAGGATCCGCCTCGGGTGCCAAATGCTCTAGGTACGCCCCTGACATACCATATCCAGTTGCCTCTAGCAATTTTTAAAAATTTACATTGCCTACATCATTAGGAACGGTCGTTATCATATTTCTTAAGTTGCATAATTATCAACTTGATCTGACTATTTGAAGAGCTGTGTTTTGGAAGAATTTCTAATATATGGTACAAGAAAAAAGACTCTTCACTCTTTGTAACTTAACATGGATTACAAACAAAACAATTTCTTTATTAGGGATAATAATTCATTTAAAAAATAACTCAATTAATTTTATTATAAATGAAATGTATTTAATAATTCCAACAGTAAGAAAACGGATATGCGTTCTATGATGGCTCCATATCTAAGTTAGTAAATATATCCTTATTTTTTATATATTTTTTTCTACCATTGGTTTGTGTGTGTGTGTGTGTGTGTGTGTGTATGTGTAAATGATGTATTTCTCTAACACAGTTCTGATCAAGGCCTACTCTAGAAACACTAATGCTCCTATTCTCTTCATTTTCACATGCTGTAATTTAGCATTATTTTTATCTGGGGAACAATGTACTTTAACACTGTACATAGACACCAAGTACTGTAATTTTCTACAGAATTGCCTTTCATTAGACGAAAGTAAATGTTACTAAACTAAAATGGAAAAAAGTGATGTGCTTTAGTAGATAGCTCAGCTTTCAAATAGTAGACTTTGGAACATAAAAAAACTGTTTTTTTTTAGATAGAAGTGAGGGAGATTTCGTAATAGATATAGGGAATTCGATTTTTTTTTTTTACTTTATATACGTACATTCAAAAGGACAAAGGTACAAAATGTATTAAAAAACAACAACATTTGTGTATAGGAAAGGTGATACACAAGAGGAAAAAAGATGCCTAAATGATTATAAATGTAATATTAAATGTAAACAATACACAACAAAACATTAACCACAGGTCTTTCAAAGGATGTATTGAGGGAAGGTTGAGAGGGAGAAAGGGGAGTCACTTTAGGATCTGACGAGGACAGAATTTCGAAAATCAATATTGTTTTAATTCTTTATTCCATCTGCAGCTGTCTGATAAATTAACTAACCAAGTTAACAGCTGGTCTATTGATTGCTGAAGATGTATCCTCTAAACAATCAGCTTTAGGGAATTGATAAATATCAGGCAAATCTGAATTCAAAATAGCTAAGCTGACAAAACTGTCTTGGCCATTCTGCTGTACAGTCTTGTCTCATTTCATAGTTGGCAACCGTTTTATTGGTTGCTTTATTATTTTATTTTTTCAAAGTAAATGTCACAGTTTTTTGTATTGTTTTTCCTTTGCACAGGATTAATTGTTTTGTTTGGTTTAACAGTCTTATTAAGCAAATATAAATTGTTTTGGGATTGCCTTTGAAATGTCCCTATGCCATAACTTATAAGGGACAGCAGGGGAAGGCAGCAGATACCTCTAGTTCAGAATTGATTTGAAGTTATTGCATCCTGTTTGTTGCAATGACCTCTGGCTAGTTTTTGACAGTTTTTTCTGGTATGCAGATCTTCAGCTTGACCCTGGCCAGCCTCCTGATTTTTTTACTTTGCAGCTGTATCTTTATTTTCCATTAGTGCATCTGCACTATCTTTCGATTAGGCTTGACCATCTCTAAGGAAAGGTAATACACCTTTGTAAAATGTTCTCCTATTTTATCAACAATTGGGGATCCCTTGCATAGTGGATTGAATGTTGGATGTTAAGCTATTATAAATTCTGCCAATGTTGTCATCAAACAATACTTGATTGATACTTTACAATTCATGTGTTTTACCAGATTTATCATTTTTAACTCTACATATTTCAATTAATATCACCATTTTATTACATTGAATATAAAAAATGTGCTACCTGAATACAGCATTTTTGTACATTTTTACTTTAATAGTCAGAGCCATTAAATAGCATTTACCACAGAGGGAACTGCAGAAAAAATAAGCAGAATTCTTTGTCTAATCTAACTCAAAGCTATTTGCAATGCATGACTATTGTAGTCCCAAAGAAACTTGATGGATGGCAGCTCTGCAACCAGTGTAAAATCATCATTGAATGCGTATCTAGTACAATTGTCTTCAATTTGTGCTCAGGTCAGGATATAAGGATATCCATACCAGTACACAGCTTTTCAATAAAAATAACTGGACTGTGGCTAAATTAAACTGTGATGAAGAAGAGGTGGCTTGATTCTAGTAACAGGACAATTTTGAGGAGTACAAGTATAGAATAAGAAACAGGAGGCTTGAATTATAAATTTCACTTAACTAGAATAATAAGGAATAATAGTGTGTCCACTTTGCTTATTTACTTTAAACAAAAAAAAAAACATA